AACCCCCCCCCCAACAGGAGAAAACATCAACCAGCGATCCTTTTCTTCACCTTCACTTAATCTGTGTCATATCTTTCACCGCAAAAATTTCTCTCTAAACAAAAAAAGAAAACTTCCGAGAACAGCACGCCACATGCAGCGATTGTGCCATTCCACCAAGCAATTGACGGTCAAGCACAGCAGTCACAGAGATGGCCACGTCGTCCATATTGTCTGCAGAGGATCTGTTGAAGAACGGCTTCCAGATGGAACCGCATGGCGAACTATTGGTTCTCATACATATGTCACAGATATCCCGCTACAAGACGCCCTGTCTGGTTGAGAGGGACCGGTTTGTGTAGCGCATGTCTCATGAGATTCGTCTACCACTATGCGCGGTCCTGAGCGAGTATGACTTGCTGGGTGATGAACACGATCTTTCAGTCATCTAAGACTCGTGTACACAAATAAACCTTGTACATCGCGAACGAACGATGTTTTGAGCCTGGACAAACTCAAGTCAGACAAGGTGGTGGTGGACTCCGAACCGTGTGAATCCGAGGAGATCGTCACCGGCACTATCGAAAGACACAGGGGGGGAGTCCCAAGAAGAAAAAGCTCAGACTTTCTTCATCGATGGACGGCATGCCGCCAAAAGTTAAAAATTTCATTGGACTGGAAAGGTTGTACTCAGATCCTTGACAACTCTCTGTCAAACGCCCTGAAGTTCACAAAGGACGGGTGTCTATTGATTACGATTTTGCCTTGCACGGGAAATCCTTGATGAGCGTAAGCCAGCGTATACGACACGGGTGTTGGTATTCCAGAAGAGCAGGGGGAAACTTTCGTCGAGTTTTTCCAAGGCAGCACATCCATCCATGAGAGGTATATATCGGCATTATTAGTCTTCACGTTGTCTCTGTCTTGTGGAAGTTCTTGGTTGAATCCACAGTAGGTAGTAGGTAAGGGGACTCTCGTAGATGAGATTTGTCGTTCGAGCGGAGGACCTGTCTTCACACCTAGGGTGATCACGACAACCTAACCGCTACAACGCTGAGGAGAATGTTGGTCGCCGTGGGCGAGAATGCGACAAACCGTAAATGCATCAACCGCAAGCTATATACCACGCTTGGAAGCACACATGTTCACATGAATTCACCGTGAACGAGGTTGTCGAAGCATGTGACTTGGAGGCCGTCCGCGTGTTTGAAACATTGAGTGATCCACTCGACATGTCGGGGATAACTTTCAGCGTGTGGCCTGTTCGACTCCGTGCGCGTAAACTGAACGCAACAATAACATACAAGGACCAACAGCTACGCCGATTTATTCATCCACTAGTGAGTGCCGTAGTAGAATATGATGTGGGGATGACGATGCCACATTGGACGATGTCTCTCCTGCTGCTGTCTTCGCAGGCCATCAGGAAGGAATGAGGGTTAAAACATGCTCTAACCACGCATTGTTGTGAAAGCCTCTTGATTTTCACCTCGCAAACACGCACCCACCCACTCCCCTCAACGGTTCCCATCGGTATCTGGAAAAACATCAACACATGCAGCATAAAACGTTTTAAACAGGGTCTAAACACACCAGCGTTCAAGATACAACGACTTCAAAATCCCCGCTTCAAAACAACCCAACCTTCGTCTAATCCACTCCCTGCACGCTTTCTTTCTGTGCACATGAAAAGCGTACGTCTGGCAAAAGACCACCAGAGAAGGTCAGGCTGCACTTTCCTCGCCGATTTCTGCGCTCCCACCACCGCTAGCTAGCAGTTGGGGATTGCACATTAGCAGCGCAGGTATTATGCACAATAATCTCACTCTACCCTGGCGCGCCCCTTTGCGCTGCATCTACGCGTTCATTTCTAGCTCCGATCTTGTGTTACAAAATTGACAGCACTACTGCAGTAGGGGAAGAAAAAACACCCCATACCGTTCCTAAGGTCTTCAGAAGACAAACAACAAGGAGGAGGACGGGATCGAGACGGCCGCTTAGACAGCCGTTACACTGTCAAATGCCCGGCACAGACCCAGGCCATTGCCGTTCTTCGCATTCCCAACCAATAAACCATTAACCAATACCTCCCCTGTATGACTCTCGGATAGATTTCGAAGAAACTATCTGAGTGACCGAAGAAACCAAAATAATTTTCGACACCAACCAATAAAAATTAAAAAAGACAGCAATGTACCATACGGGGAGGGAGAGAGAGAGACTCAGGCCAGGGCTTCCAACATCATGCAGGCGCGCACCTTCTTTGTGCATGAAACAAACTTTCCGTTTTCTGCGGCGCGTATGCGACTAAAAAAACACCCGGGGGGGACGGAATAATCGGTTTACCTCCCTCCCTATATAGGTCAAAGAGGAAACATAACTACAAGTATAGGGGTGCTTCAAACACACACCTATCGCCACCGTACATATCGGCCGGGCCGTTGTGCTAAAGAATCGGACATACTGCCGTACTTCTACGAGACAACGATGACAGTGCCACCCAGGCAAGAGGCAGCGCCACCGCATGGCGCATAACGAGGCCTTACGACACCCCTCTTGAGACGAGTTCGTTCTCAATCCAACAAAAACAGCAAACAAACGTGCTGGCGTTGCAGGTCTTGTCGGAATCCCCTGCACTCCAGGTAGCCCTACCAAGCTAGCCTATCGTGTTTCTTCCTCGTCCCTCGCCGTCGGCGGCAGTCATCAAGAAATGCACATGGCACATATGGCACATATGATGGACATCAGGTGGCGGGGAATGGTCCAACAACCCATCACGCGAGGAGTGATCCAACAACCAACAACCCTTTAAACAAGGCGGTGTCAAAAGGGGTGCGGGGGGAACCCTGCCACCTCCGCTCCAATGGGGAACATTTCTGGTGGTCTCACGTTTGGGCGCTACATACCGGAAGTGACATGACGCAAAATACCACACCCCCCGGACCGTTTTTCAAGGCAAGACTACTCCACGGCGACGAGGGTTCCACAATCAAAAATGATAGTACGTGTCCGGAAATATCTCGACGAGACGGTTGCAACGCCAGCATTTTCGGCGCCGCCACGCTTTCGACTGAAAACCGGTCGCTGGGGTGTGCTATCTTACGTCATGTTGTTGCGGTACGAAATTCACCAAGGGGCGCACGCATCAAAATACAGGAAGCAAAACTAGCCCCCCCCACCCCCACTCGTTTTCGTGCTCTCCATTCAGCATGGTCTAGGGGCTGTTGCATGGTACGTTTATTTAGTATCACAGTCAAAACCCATGAAATACATTGGTTTACAGGTTTTAAAGTATGGCCATCGTACCGTAAAACCAAATACTGTAGGATTCAACAAAACCACACTAAACCCTATGCGATAGACCCCCCTCACATTGAACGCATCTCGGTACGGACCACACGCCGTCTGCGAAACAGTCACCATGCGCGCCTTGTTTCGAAAGGCAAAACCTGACCAACCCGACGGCTCATTAGCGAGCATGCCACCACAATCATCCTACTTTTTCGCCAGCACCATTTCTTCGTTTGTCGTGGACACCCTCGGTCCAGTTCTCAGGTGGCGTTGCCGTCCCCTGTAGCTTACGTCCATCATGACCTACGTACCCCCCACGCAGAGGTAAAGACTGATCTAAGATGTAGCTCACGCGCATATTATTAACCTTTCGTCTCTTTTCTGTCCCTCATGGGGACAGCCTTTGATACTGTACGATAAAATTCACACCGCCGGCGAAACCACCCGCCACCACGTCTTTTCGCACTCGCCTACACGCTGTGGAACTCCCGACATCGTCATGGCGTCGGTGTGGGTGTTCCTCCCGAAGCCAACCGGACAGAGCAGTATCGGCAGCACTATTTCACCATCTCCTCGGCAGTCGTCTCTGGCCTCTCAGGGTCTTTGCAAGACGGTCTTGGTTCTCGCAGTCCACCTGCTGGGTGCCGCCGCAGCAATGCGTTTTCGTGTCAAGCGACGACTCGCGCATCTCAAGCCAACGAGACGGCGCCTTCCTTGCTGTTGCCTGAGGAGGCGTGCCTTGTGTGTTGGTATTAATAGTCATCGCATTGCTCACCGCTTGGTCAGGGTTTCAGCGGTTTTAGTGTGTACTGGCGCTAGGACGTTTTGTGTGTATTGGCGCCTTTAATAAAACAACATGGGACGACAACTCACACGGGGGCCCAGAGATCGTGGCCTACAGGCGCATTTTCCGTTTGTAGTCGCACAGAGGCCGGCGTTTTTTCATTGGCCAGCCGGTTAGCGCGTCGATGCAAACAACGAAGACACGCACGCACTCCTACCCTATCAATGAGCTGGCAGTTAGGTAAGGGTGTACATCGAACCGACCTTCGCCGGCTCTTTCGTTTAAGGAAACATGTTGGATGAAGCATGCGATCGGGGAAGTTGGGGTAGGGTTAGGGATACGGTCTGCGTACCCCCTCCCTATTCTATTTCCTCATGAATATAATTTCTGGCGAAGGCGCACCGAGATGACTCACCGTGTCCACAAGTAGCGACGGCACCGTAGGGAGTGCTCCATCATCGGCGTGCCTCACGGAAGGGCCACTATTACAGCGCACGATAACAAGACCTCCTCGATACATGTACGCCTCCCTTGACAGCGGGAAACGCCCTCCAGGCGCCGCCGCAGCCCCTACCGCCGCCGATCGTCACCCTGCTGCTGCTGCTGGGACCAGTTGGAATCATCCTCCGCCAACAAACAGCCCCCGCGCTACTCCTCTACTATATACAAACATGTACTGTACGACAAACATGACAAGGCTTCCCTCATCCTTCTCCTCCCCCATGGCTGCGGCTGCTGCTGCAGATGCTGCTGCTCAGCAGCAGTAGGAGCAGTTGTCCCCCCTCCCGCCGCCGCCGCCGCCGTCGGCTCTTTCTAGCGACGGCGGCGGCGGCGGCGGCGGCTAAAAGTGTCGGAACATGCTCGTGTGGTCTCTGATCGCCACACCCATCTCGCACAGGAAGGAGAGGGTCACTCCCGACTGGTGCCTGCTGGTAGTGCCGTCGCTCTTGTCGTTGCCGTTGTCTACCGCTGAGGCTGAGGAGAACCGCGCTCGCTGTCGGCGGGGGAGGCTCTCGGTCTCGTCTACTCTAGACAATGCGCTCCCTGAGATGACGCGGGAGACACACAAGGGATCAGGTCACACGTCGCGAGAAACAACAAACAAGGCAGCAGCAGCAACAGCGGCAACAGCATATGCAGCAGCAACAACACACAAGGCAGCAGCAGCAGCAGGAGCAGCACCATAACAAGCAGCGTTCAGCTTATCATCGCATTCGTTAACGGCCAACTTAGGCGTTCCACCTGTCGTCGAAGAGCCTCTCAAATCACAATACGAGCGAGGGGGAGTTCATGCGGTATGGCATGAGACTTGGGAGGTGGGGGGAGGGGGGGAGTAGGAAGGTTTCTCGGGACACTTGAGCTTGTTGCGGAGACATCGTTGCCATCGGCTGTATGTTTGCGGGTAATGGCGCGTGGCAGCTCTCGAGACCTGCTTAAAAGTGTCGCGGTTAGGGAACAACGCTACCACCGCCATCACACCGCCATCGCAACCATCAAATGATAAAAACAGGCGACAGCAACAACCCCAACCAAAACGACAACACCGACCACTCAAGGTGGCAGAACCGCAAACCACCCACAGCAGAAGCAGCAGCAAGAAAACATCGCGACGTTTGTGACACATACGTTCACCACAAGAAAATAAACCACCGCCTTCACATCTCTACTCGCCTGCCGCCCGTGCCACCGGATATGACTTCGCAGTTCGCAACGGCAGCTGCTGCTGCGGCGGCGGCGGCGGCGGCAACGCCGCGTTCACTGGCACTCTGCTCTTTGCGACCGCTCCTTCCGCCAACTGAAGTTCGAGCTCTGCTACCCTGGCCCTCAGTGTCACCACCTCTCTCCTCAAGCTGTCCACCTCTTTCACCTCTTTCCCGGAAGACGACGATGACACCTGAGAAAGAAAATCAAAAGTGAGGCGGGAAAATTACTCGGTGGTCAGATGCCCAAAACCAGGTTGTGATTTAGCTGCGCGAGTTCCCACAGAATCACTCAACCTCTCCCCCCAGACTTGTCGAGGCTTCCCCCTACTTTTGGTCAGATGACGTTTACGGTATCGAAGGCCGATTGCTCGTAGCCTTCCTGTCAACGGTAAGAAAAAAAAATGCCGCACAACAGGCAAAAGCGCCGGACTTTCGAGTAAGTGTCTTCGGGGCGAGGTGGCTTGACAAAGACAAGCACCTGACACCTAATCACGAAGGCAACCTCTTTCGCACGCACTTGCTCATCGCTCGCAGGAGCAGCAGCCTTAGAGGCGGCGGCGGCCTGCCTGAGCGCCAGGATCTCTGCCTTTAGGCGGTCGTTGTCCCCCTTGAGGTTGCCCACATCCTTCGCCTTTATGCGGAGGTCCCTCAGCTCCCCGTAGGCTATCTTCTGCCGCATCCGGCACTGCAGCGCCAGCGTCGCAGACCGCAGCTTACGGTGGGCGCGCCACGGGGCGAGCATGCGGTACCAGCTCTGGATTTTAGTGGACCGGTGCTGGCGTCTGTATGGCAACAAGTGGGGGGGGGGGGAGCACACCGATGGATTATGGCGGACCAGAGTAAGGTTTTGACTGAAAATTCGGCCTCCTAAATACCAGTTCTGCGAGAGGCTGAACGTGAGCAGTGGAAAAAAATGGCGTTGCGCTTCAGTTGTCGTATCTTCATCGTGAACAAAGCGAAAGTGATATGAGCTGACTAAAGCTGCCCTCCACAAGATGCTGCACATTCCCCTCCCCTACCCATGTCCTCCGGATGTAGCCACCAAGACGCCAACCAATGTCGTTTGGTGCAGCCATGGCTGATGGGCAAAATGTATACAAACCGTTACACGCGTCTACAGTAGCGAATATCTCTATATCGGACATCTATCGGAGATGTATCTCACCTAAGCTCGGTGTGGACCTTGGCGGCCTTGCGCCATCGCGTTGCGCACTGCAGGGCGAGGGCCGCTCCCTTGATGGACAGGAAGTTCTTCCTCGCAAAGTGACGCCGGTAGGCCGTCTGCGTACGAAGCGCCGCCCGCATCCGGCGCATGTGCTCTACTCGCCGTCGCGCCTGAGAGCAAGAACCAAGTTGTCCAAGAGGTTTCCACGAGGGAAGGGAAAGCGGCGGAGGGCAAGGGTTGGTAACTGCGCGCAAAATTCCGCATCATGGCAATGGCGGGGGGGTTCGGGGATAAACTCCAGGGAGGGGGTCGCGGTGCAAAATTTGATGGCACAGCATCGCGCTCGGCCCGACGTTCTTTCGGGGGTGATATGACAGCGGGTAGACGCTGCACGATCCGCGCTCTTCCGTCCTTTCTCGTTGTTGTACTGATACCAGAAAGTACCGGTACGGCATGTTAAGTGTGATGACAACGACAACGACAACGACAACCAATTGACAGAGAAGGGCGGACGCGATGCTGCCTACTGTACCACGTGTGTGTACAGGTACACACAAGTGAGCCAGCGTGAACTCACGATCGTGCCCCTCGACACCCTCTGGATGAACCGTACGGCCCGTATCGCAGAGGAGAACGCCCGCCTGCTGACGAAACCCCTGGCCACTCTCTGAAGCGTAACCGCGGCCGACGTGATGCGCCGGGAGCGGATCATCTCCAAAAAGTCGTAGGCGTTTTTTCGAAGGAATACCTGGGGGGGGGGGTACACACATGGAACATGAGGACGGTGCGATCGACTAGATTTGGCAACTTTGACGGGAGGGGGGTTCATTAAGTCTTCCTGTCTTGGGTTCCTTGTACAAAAGGGTTTCTGAAAGGGAGTGAGTGGGGCAAAAACAAACCCGAACCGGAGCAGCAGCAGCAGCAGAAGCAAAACAACGTTCCACGACAACAAGAGCGAGCAGAAGCCGCCATGATGAGCAATGAGCAACAAGGACAATCGGCGCCCGCCATGTTCGTCGCAGGGAGGGTCGAGGGCGTCACCTTGTTCTTTCCGAACTGCATCGTGTCCGCCGGGATGTTCTTCATGCTAACCATTGCCGGCGACAGCACGTGCTTGACAAGGTCCTGCAAACACACACACGATGCATGCAGGCAGACCAAAGGAAAAGGCAGAAAAAGCGAGAGGGGAAGACGGTGGCATAGAACACGACGTGGGTACAGGCAATCGCAACAACGGCAGTCAGTCGTGGATTGTATTTCATTTTTCAGCAGGTCGCTTGAACAGGTGGCTCTCGTGTGCGCTTGGCTAGTAGGCCGTTAGTATTTCCTTTAAACACCCAAGCTAAAATGCGTGCGTGCATAGTTTGCACGTGTTTTCTACCGCAAAGAACGTTCCAGCGTTTCCTCTCTACTGTACGAGTTCAACAGCGTCGATCCAACGGGGCCTAGCTGGTAAGGACGTTTCCTGTCCACCAACTAGCCCCGTTAGGGTCGACGCAGAGAAACTCATACAGCAGAGAGGACACGCAAAACCAACATTGTCAAGAAGAAAACATCTGCAAAAAACGTACCAGGCATTTAGCTTGGGCAACAACAAAAAAACATGACGTCTGCTCAACAGAAACAAAACAGAACCCACGTCTGACTGTTTGCTTTGATGCTTTTCTCTTGCTGTAGTGGGCGGCTGCTTAGTGCCGGTCGGTGTTTTCGGCACGCACACTCTGAAACCAAGTCGTTCTGTGCTTTGAATGGTCCCGGTGTCCGGTATATTGTAGTGCGGAAAAAACTCTGGGCACACCAGCACTATTCAAGGCCCACTACTGCACCCAAACCAAATTTTGAGCCTATACTTCTCAACGGCATAGAATAAAATTTTCAAACTGCCGGCCCATTCAACAACAAAAAAAAAACATCAACAAGACATGCAGGAGTGCGGGCCGAAAGGACCACCGTACCCACCTTACACATCTTCTGCGCCATCGCGGTGCCCCCCTTGAGCCTCAGCGGATACCTCGACTTCTTCACCTTCTTGTTCAAGGAAATCAAGCAACGGTAGCGGACGTAGAAGTCCTGGACAGGAGTTTTTTCGGACGGAGAATCGGGGACAGCGGGGGGGTGGAAACCATCAGGACAGGGACCTGTGGGGGGTGGGGGGTGGGGCGGGGTCCCGCAAAATAGATCACGACCAACACGTAGATGTAGGTTTATGACGTGTTTGGGTTCAATGGCACGAGCAGCAGCCTACACCGACTCCCTCCCTCACTGCCATGATAAAACGTGCAGCAACCATTGAAGGGTTTTTCGATTAAGTAAACATGTTGGGTAAAGCATATATAATCGGGGAAGTTGGGTTAGGGTTATAGGGTTAGGGAATAGGGTCTGCGGACCCCCTCCCTGTTCTATTTCCTCATAAACTTATTAATTTCTCGCGAAGGCGATCCTAAACGTGTCACTCCTCTGTCATGGCACGAGTTGACTTCCGTCCAACACGAGCAGTTGCCGTAGGTGGCTGTCTCACATCGGCGGCATCGTCGTGCTTAGGACAACACAACGCGGCTCACGTTCAGGTCCGGAAGCAGTAGCAACAGCAGCAGTAGACACAGTAGCAGGACAGACTAGCCAACGGGGAGGGACTGACTACCATTTCAAGCAGCCGCTTGCCTGTCTATTCCAACCCGAACCACATCGCCAAGAAAAAGAAGCAAGATGTACATACTCCCAGCATTGCATTTGGCGGCGATAGTTTGAAGTACGGCACGGCAGATATACCTTGTGGGGGAGCCGGACGGGGTATCCAGATCGGGCGACTCGAACGGCCTCCAACACGCCTCCGTACCGTAGCTGCTCCATCACTCGCACCCTCGACACCTCGTCGGGCTCGGCGTTGTCGTTAGGCTTGATGCACCGGATGTAGTGCGGACGTGTGTCCCTGATCCAAGGCACAAGAGAGCAAAGACACAGGGAGAGAAAACAAAAAGCAAACCAAAGGGGGGTGAGGTCTCGTAGCTACCATTATAGTAGTGCGGCCCTACCTCCCTGCCTCACTCACGAGTTCAAACATCAGATAAATATTATGACAAAGACATAACTAAGCAGGTGACTACTCACAAATGAGGCCGTTGCTCGTAAAGGTTAAATAGCTCTTTTTTGCACAACAACATCACCCGACTTACCCTGGGCCTTAACTTAACACCACCCACACCAAGACAATCAGCCGCCCCTACGACACCATTTGCTGCTCTCGACACGCATCACTACCATCACGGCACGCCTTTCACACACACAACCACCATCACCACCAAGAACCGACATCCCACAACCGTTTGCCAAAGAACTCAACCTGATCATGTCCATGAGGTCGTGTAGCTGCCCCCGAAACTGTGTCCCCACGGTGGGCTTGAGGCCCGCGAATCCGGGCGAGTCTTTCTTGCTGGTGTTGGTGCTGGTGCTGGACTGACCGGGTGAGATGGGTCTCTTCCCCTTGCTCCTCGCCTTCTTGCCTGCAGCAAAGAGACGTCATCGCAACATCCTCAACAAAAAAAAAAAAAAAACACGCTACAAATGCGGTGACAAAACGCCGACATCGTGAACACACTCGAAGATGGACTCTTCCCCTTGCTTCTCCACGTTTTGCCTGCAGAAAAGAGACGTACCTCGTCAACACACACACACGAAAATAACGAAAATGTGCGGTAATAAAATAAAAAAAACATCGCACAACGCGCTCGAATGAAACGCGTATCGTGACAAAAACAACAACATCGCATCGCATAATTCCTTCTTGTCCGCCAATCGTTGTAACCAGCGAACGTCGTGGGGTTGCTCGCTCCACACAAAAATATCGTGAAGCATTTGTCTATTCCCATATGCATGTCTAACGTGGCAACCATCACCCCGGCAAACAAAACACCAACGACTCGTAGAGGCGATCGAGACATGGTGATACCGTAACACGACGATTGAGGGGGGGGTACATGAAAAAAATGTGTGTAGGGGGGGGGGGGGGGTTGCTCACCTCCCGTGGGTGAGAAAAGGTTGACGACGAATTCGTTGGTGCTGCTGGCGAACAGCACGTCGGACTCGTTGGGAAGCTCGTCTTTGTTCTTGTCGCAGAACGTGTGGACATTATACCGCACCTGCGGCGTGATCGCACGGCCCCGGCAGAACAGCTCAAAGTTCGCTCCAAGCATCATCGCATCAAGTTATGCTACGAGAAAAAAAAAAAAAAACAGACCTAGTAGTGTATTGAAGGTGATTCTTCGGTGGCACATGTCAAAGAACATGTAGCCATCTACAAAGCATCCACCCGAGCTCGAAACAGACAGTGTTCGGGGTGCACACACATCCATCAACGCAACGAAAAAAATGGTTATTGTTGTTGACTTGCACTAAAAAAAAGAAGAAAAAAAAGCAGGGGGGCACGGTGAGTTAGTTGACTTACCTGGCCCGCGTAGTGCTTGATGGCGAAGCACAGCTTGGTCCGCATGGCGCTGTCCGCCTCGAACCTCTCCGCCTCCCCGTGCTCCCGGTACAGCCGGCTGAAGTAGTTAGCGTCGGTGCCGCGGATGCCCAACCGACACTCGTCATCGAGCATGGTCAGCAGACCCTTCTTCTTCCCCTCGATCAGGTCCAGGCAGTCCTGGGGGGCAAACGATCGCACAAAACTTGCAGTTATCAGCTTTAGCGCATACCGGCTTTCCCAACAAAAAATGAGAACAACGAGACGGCGACATTCTAGTTGACTTGCTCTAGGGGCAACACAATTCATGAATCCGCACCGAAAAATACATTTCCAGTTCACACCGCCGGACAACGCTCAATTCCTGCTGAACGGCAGGCAGCAACACGGCAAGGCAATAGCCTAGTCGTTACGGTACCTGGTTGTCTGGAAACTCCACAAAGGACCACTCGATCCCCTCCTTGCTGTACTCCTTCTGCTCCATCTTGAACACGAACTGGTTGAACTGCTGCTGCAGAGTCTCGTTCGTGTAGTTGATGCACAGCTGCTCGAAGCTGCTCACGATTTCGCGCCATCAACCAATTCATCACAGAGCCAGCCAGCCAGGTAAACCAGAGGTCAGCCACCACAGCAGCAGCAGCAGCAGCAGCGGTAGAGGCAGCACACGACATGCATGAACGAGAGAAGGGTAAGGGGAGAGATTCTGGACCCTTCTGGGCAGCGTGGTGCTTTGGAGCTTGTCGACGCTATTCACCGCTAACCCTAACCCACATGCACCCAAGCTGCTCTTGCTGCAAACTCAAGCTACCACCCATCATCCATCCTGCTGAGCCTCGGACAGCCGGAAAACCTTCAACCTCTGCGGCAAGATCTACAGATCTCGTTGCGGCTTGAATAAAACTTGAACAACGCTCCCGACCAAATCACGCGAAACACAAACAACGTCACAACCCACGGCACAGCAATCGAGCAAACTAACGAACGCACCTGTTGTGCTCGAAGCACTCGAACCCGAAGATGTCCAGCACCCCCACGGAAGCCTTCACCTCCTTGCGGTCGCAGTTGATGTGCGAGTTGATGGTGGCCACCAGCCAGTTGAACAGCTGCCCGTAGAAGGCCTTCGCCAGGGCGTCTCGAGCGTCGTACGCTTGATGGTCGGTGAGCTTGATGGTGGTCTTCTCCTTTCTAGGACCGACCTCGATGGTCTTGGACGTTAGGGCACGCAGCAGACCGTCCTCCGGCAGGTAGCACAGCCGGCAAACCCGAGCCAGGCAATCCCTTGGTTAAGGGGGGAGGGTTTCAGGGGGAAGGAGGTGTGTCATCACCAGGCAAGCGGTGTCTGCGGTAAAAAAAGAAGAGCGAAAATATACCACCGATTTGACATCGACAGCCACCGCCCCGCAGCAGCAGCGACAACGGCGTCGTCACTACCATCAACGCCACCAACGAACCGCGAACAATCAACAACGGTAGAACAGAGACAGCAGCAGCAGCAGCAGCAGCAGCAGCAGCAGCAGCTGCCAAAAACAGCAGCCAAAACACTGACCACAAGAGCACACCAACCGGTGCAACCACTACGGCCAAACACCAAAACAACAGCAACATCACCAACAACACTGCAGCGTGTCGACAACAGCAGCGGAAACAACGGCGCCAACGCCAACAAAGGCTAGAACAACAACACCGCAGCTGCAGCGCAACCAACAATGGCCAAGACAAACGGCGGTCTCAGGTGCGTCTGTCTCTCTCACTCGTTATCCTCCTCGTGAAACAGCACCGCTGCATCGTCCTCCTCGCTAGCCTCGAACTCGAGCTCTCCGAGGTGGATAAGTCCCGCCATGATGTCGAAGATAGTCTGGATCGAGCTAGCCTCGAAACCCATCGTCTGGTCGAACCAAACAGAGGCACCCCCCCCCGCCACGGCACACGGCAAGAATACGCGAAAAAGACAAAACAAAGCGCCAAGGTCATGCAGTCCACAAGCATCGAAATATGGAAGTCACTCGGTAGGCAAAGCAAGCACCGGCGGCGAGAGAGACCAAAGTGACGGTAGGCGGCAAACTAGAGATGAACACGACAAAAAAAATAGAAATAAGCGAAACCACGAGCAGCCTTCGAGTCGAGAGGGAGAGTCGGGGGTGTCCTCAACGACCCTCCAAGAGCATCGCACGACCCGATAAAGCTAGCAACAGCAAGAGACACCAATGGGGTAGGCTTGAATCTTCCTTTTCTCACCGTAAGAGCGGCCTTCGTCTGCACGAACTCGTCCTCGTCCTCCACTTGTCGGAGGTCGTAGCAGTCGCCCTGGTTCACGAAGTGATACTCCTCCGGACCTGAAAGAAATCGCCAGTCGGAGGCCGGTTCAAATGGGGGACCGAGAACCCGATTCGTCGCGCAAGCCGCCACTGTGTTGTACAAACCAAACGCAACGCCCTTCCACACTGCCTCGATGATGGTTCCAATAGTCTCGCCGCAATATACTACCCCCCCCCC